GTCGCACCGCCCGGCCCGCGCCCGGGGGAGGATGGCACAGCCAAAGTGTTGCTTAGGAGCCATGAAGGACAAGGGGACACTTGCTGGCACCAGGAGTTGCAGACAGCAACGAAGCCCATTGCCCTTCATCCTCTCCCGCAGCCCTTTGGCTCCGCTCAGGTCTTCTCAGCTGCCCCCGTGGGCTGAGTTTGAAAGGTCTCAGCTCAGTTCTGCACCGCGCTGCTGGTGTTGGGACTGCAGGGAACAGACGGCTGGGGCGAAGGAGGTGACGGCCAAGGCTGCCGTGCTCTGGGCTGTGCTAAGCTAGGCAGAAGAGGCATCCCCGGAGGGGATGTCGGCGTTACCCTCGGGCCCTCTCCATGCCAAAATGCAGGTCGGTCGGCGATGCTAAACTGGAGAAAGCGGCACTTCTAAGTCTTGCCAAAGAGCCCCCGTGCTCTCGGCTCCCAGCACTGGCGTGTGCCCTCGGTGCCACAGCTGCCCTGTGGTCCTTTGCTTACAAGGGACGACTAGGTCAGCATTAATTTTCTTGGAGACCCCTGCACAGTGAGATTCCCTGCCCCCCTTCCAAATAATACACCCGAGGCCTTTATTGTGTTACCTGTTTCCTTTTTCTCAGCATCTCTGTTCCTCCCCCCGTTGCTTTTCATGCTTTTCTCTCTAACCGCAAGGGCTGGAGATGGGCTATGTTATGTCCACAGGAAGATCCTCCTGAAATAACCTGGTTCCAGGAGCTCGAGCTTTGGGAAAGCAGCAAACCTGGCAGGACGGGGTCGGGCTGCCCTCGCTCCTGTGGTTTCTGGTACAGCTGGTTTCCAATGCAGGGCCCCAGTGCCCCACGTCCACGTTCCCATCCTCTGAGCTTTCTTCTCAGAGGATGTTACCTGCTGCTTCTTTCTTGGAGACTCACGGCATCACACAATGGCACTTAATGCAGGAGCCCGTTTGCTGCCTAAACTTTATTTTAAGGGCTCAGGTGCAGAGGTTTGGTGCTGCTGGCTCACAGCAGGGCGAGCGCTCCTGTGGCCAGGGCGGCTGAGCCGACCGCATGGAGAGCAGCGGTGGAGGTGGTGGGCCACGGGGAAGTCATGTTCCCCCCCTGCCGCTGAGCGGGGAGAAAGAAGCTCTTGAATCACAGCCTCTTCTTTTAATTTGCTCTGATGCCACATCTGCCTCTGGGTGTTTGTATTAGACTTTGTTCTGTGTTGCGTTTTTTTTTTTTTTTTAGTTTAAGTGTAAACCGGTTTGTTTATTTTAAACACTCGCTTGTTGTGAAGCCACCAGTTGAAAGAGCCACTTGGGTAATAGTATTTTTGTTTATCTGCCCCCACCTCTTGCAAGCAGAAAAGTTTCTGTTTCTCTGGCTCCAAACGCTGTTAGGACAGAGAATGAAACGCTGAGTTTATCAGCATGACCCCTTGGCTTTCCGGCAGGAATCCCAGCTCCGTTCCTGTGCCAAGTTCGACAAGGCTGTCTCCGAACCAAACATTACAACGTTGAAACTAATCATTAGCCGTTTTAGCCAGTAACCTTTCCACAAGGGCTGTGATAGTCACCAGGCTGCTTCAGCTTGCAGCAGCAACGAGTTTGGGCAAGGGAAACGTTTTTTATCTGACCCTTAGTGTGTTTGCTAGAGCCTCCTCATACTGGGCAGCACCCACTTAGGTGAGTCCTGAGTCACACCGCAACTGCCTTAAAAAGGCAGCTTGAATCTGTCGATTCACCCTGGCAGAGGGTGTTTTCTGGTGCTTTTGTCACGAATGCTGCTAACCGTATTGTGCTGTATACTGATATTGATATGTTCGGTTTATGCTAGCAAAGCGATCTGTGCAGCAAAGTGGAAAGTGTGGCTGTGAAGGTACCAGGTGCTGCAAATAAGGAAGGGAGAACCTCAAGGAGTGAAGGCTGCAGGTTGGTTTGGCGTGGAGCAGAGTTAAGGTTATTTTGCATATTGCACTTGTGCTTTGACATGGTGTTGTACATGCAGCTGTGTGGGCTGGTGCTAAAAAATGCCCTTTTTTGTTGTGTTGTTGCATTGTGCATCCATGGTTTAGCCACTAGGCTATAGTGCGTGAAACCAGATCCAAATTTAAGCAGTGTCTGGGCATTGTCAAGGTCCTGATCTCTTTACCAGAGCTTGCGAGCCCTGTGCCCCTGCCTGTCCACATGGCTGAGACCACCTTGCCATGTCCTGAGACACGAGTGCCGTGGGCAGGACTTTGCACGAGGTAGGAGCTCCTGCCCACGCGCATCAGGGCTTGCTCTGATCAAGGCGCCTCCTGCCAGTGCCCGGTTGAGTACAATGCGAGCAGAGCCTTAGCGATTTGGGTTCGATCAGGATGGCATCAAGGCGCTTTGGCCAGGATGGAGTCTGTGCAAGCAAGCCTGAACGCGAGGAACAACCCCAACGCAACGCAAACCGGCTCCAAGGCAGCGCTGCCGGCTGGCGGTCACCTCCCACCCAAGGGTGGCCGCTGGAGGCCAGGACTTGCAAGCTCTCCTTCCTTTAACACCTCATTATTGTAACTAGTCTCTGATTTTAAGAGAATTAGTGTTTATCTCCCCCCCACCCTCCCCGTTCCCGATTGATCCCATTGTGGAGATGTGGCTTTGAAGAGAGCTCCCGGTTCCTGGCAGGTACGGCCAGGTGTTTAAATGCCATTGTCTCCCAGGGCCCTGCCTGCGCCGCAGATTGAAACGATTAGAGCTGGATGGCAGCTACAAAGTGGGAAGGCTATTAAGACGGATCACTTCAAGTGGGGAATTTGTTTACAGTGGGGGGCGAGGAGGGAGGGGGCGCTTCCTCACACCTGGAGTTGTCAGAGTCAGGATTTAAGTAGCTGGTTATTATTTTAATGTGTCTTGCATTTATTTTTTCCCCCCCTGTTACGGGGACGCAACAGCCCTAAATCAGTCCTGACATTTGAAGAGTTTTACTTTGGGCGGCTTTACCAAAAAGGGATTTATTTGCCTGTAGCCGAGCTCTCAGGCCTGTGACGCTGCTTGCTCGGTAGACCTGCTTTCGGGGAAGGGGTGCCTGAACCCTTCAGCCCAACAGGCGTCCGAAGGGGAGGGCTGGGCTCGGACAGACGTGTGGTGGCTAGTGGG